GTGGCATTGACCTACATCGACCACCCCCGTGGTGCGCCTTTCGGCGTTCGACGCCTGCAGTGCAACTTGTACAGGAGACTTCGAGGCAAAAATTGCCTCTCGCTTCTCTTAGGTACACAACGTGTTACATGTATATGTAGTCTAGTACATAATGTATAACTCTTGGACTGGACCGCTGCCTCCGATACTGCCAGCGCTACATCCTGCCAGGAGCACAGCTTTGTGTGCTGCGAAGAAGAGATTCGACGCGAGGAAAAGGGCAGCAGAGGATGTCTTCAATTCTGAGAACTCTTGCAATCCATGGGACCCACTCAACTTCCAACCACTTCTGACCAGATATGGCCTGAACATTTCTTGGCTCGTGTTTCTGCCGTGCTGCGTGCCCACCCATCTCTTGTCCATTTCTTTCTGCTGGTTGGGGTCAGGGTTGCCGCTCTTTGAGCTTCACATAACGGAAGCATGCTGCACTCTGCGCCAAGCTCTACTGCTTTGCACATCCATGAGGTCCGAGATCATTAGGATACTTGTGCATTTCCGGTGTAAGGAAGCTACGCTGCTGCCTCAATGATCTTCGTTGCTGGTTTCCAGGCTTCTTTGGCATAGGCTCGGCATGGTTCCGCCATCCCTGACTGGCAAGGATGGATCGGCCGACATTGCAATTGAAAGGGACAAGGTATGTCACTCGCTAGTTTGCAGACACCGCCGTACAATGCAGTCTGGAACATCAAGATCATCAAGGGCATGCCGGCCCTGTAACAGGAAATCAAAGGCGAATGCTTCTGACTCTGATTCCGGTTCGGCATAACACAACAAAGTGCAGGCAGCTACAAGATGCTACAAGTTGGCTACGAGAGCCAAGCGAATGCGCCCCTCCACTTCCCTGAAATTGGTGTCTTCGTGGGGTGGATCAGGGCACGACAGAAGGGCCAACTGGAACGCGAAGCGACGTCCGTCAAATGACCATCATTGACGGCACTTCTGTCCTCGAGGCCATTGCCTGCGCTGAGCGCTACGAAGCCCTGCCGCACCTGCGGAGCTACAGTCCTATGCGGCATTGTCCACAAAAACATCACAGAACTTTCAATACTACGGATTCCTTGCCCGACCGAGCGTCTCTCTCCACCTTACGCCCTGCACACTCAAGCCTCCGTCCAGCCGAAAGTCCTCGTCGCCTGCTGTAGATGCATGCCAAGTCCACCGGTGGAAACGGTTCACCGCTGGGCTGGAAACGTTTCTCTCTGCAAAGTGTGCAGGAACGACCTCAAGGGGGCTGGATGTGGCATCCACTTCGAACATCTTCGCACTTGGACGCTCAGCTTGGACGCGGACCGGCCACAGCAGCAGCTGGATCATCGGCACCATAATACCTGCCACTGTGTCCCAGTCTCGCGCATGTACTGCCGCTATGAGTTTGGATGTGTTCCCAGCACACGTCACCTGTCATCTGCTCCCTGCGCATCTGCTGCAGGAAGGCAGCGATCGAGCCTCGAGGCTGCGAAGTTCTGTGAGAAGCTCGTGCCACCCTCCCCCCCGCTAAGGCCAAGATCGCTGCGGACAGCCAGCACGGCGTCGAGCTCGTCAGGGGGTTCGGCTTCATCCTTTCAAACATGCGCAGTCTTCGCCTAGAAAGGTCTGCGCAGGGCAGTTGCGCACGGCACCCTGACCTGAGCTGCAGCTGGAGATGCCACTGGGCTCGGAGACATGGCCCGCAGCATGTCCTCTTTTTAGAACAGTCGCACTTAGAGTCGACCGCACTGGAACCCGCAATGGAATCCGCGAATCGAAGCTGCCCCAAAAGACACCTGCAGAGCCTCGATGAATGAGTATGAATGGAGTGGCCAAAAGCGTGGAGCTCGCGGTTCTCAGGACCCATGCATCGAAGATGGCCTCAAAGGCCTATATCCGCCGACCCCCGGCGCCCAGAAGTCGTGTTTCACCGTTCCGGTTTATCTAACGACAGGCCCGACAATGGCCCTTGTGAAGGAATCTAACGCAAGCCCAATGCATCCCCAGACCCCCAGCCCTTCCCGGCCCTTGTCAAGTATGTGAAGTATTTGAGTCGTTTGAGTAATCTAATGCAAGCCCAGTGCACGCCCAGCCCCGGCGCAGCCCCTAAAATGTACGTCCTGACAAGTGAAGGAAGGCATGGAAGGCGCATTTATCGGGAGGTCCCCTGTCCTGATACATGGAGAATTCCGATGGCCGGGGGACGATCGCCGGCGGCCTGTGCCAAACTCGAAGCCGGTGACTTTACATCTCGTCCTTCCCCACCGAGGCTGCCGCTTCATCTCGTCGGGGAAACAGTCGAAGATCTGGCCGAGGCAATCGTCACTTACCCGCGCCGCGAACGCGCGGGCTTGAGCGTCGGGCTGGCCAAGGCTGGACCGGTTTAGGTTGGTGCCAGGCAGCCTGGCACACCCCGTCGACATCCCTTCCTGCCCGCGGCTAAGCCCTGACACATCACCGCTTTTAGCCGGGAGTGCAAGGACGAAGAGCTGCGGCAGCAACAGCTCAGCGACGATGGCATCCGCGATGGCCTCGAAAACGTTCCGAAACGCTACAGTAAAGTCGAGATTGGAACACCCGCACTTGGGTGTGGCCGCACCTGCGTCACCCCGGGCAGCCCGAGGCCAAGCATCTCGCCGATGAACTCCAAGATGTCCTGCAGCTGCC